ATATGATGTGCAGCAGAAAGCATTCTATAAGCCAGAGCTCTTCTAATTTTCAGATCAGGTAACTTTTCATTTAGATACTGCTACATATCATATAGCTCAGTGCAGGCTTCTCTGAGGTATTCCTTTTGGTCATGGAACAGAACACTGGGACACTGAGTTCGAACCCAGTCCCATCTGTTCTGTATACTTTTCTTTTTTGTGTGTGACAGTGTCTCCCTGTGTAGCTTTGTCTTACCTGGCCTGGAGCTAAGTGAGCTCTTCCTGCCTCTGCCTCTTAAGTGCTGGTATCAAAGGTATGCACTACCATACTGGGCTGTACTTTCCTGACTAAAGGATTGACTATTAACCTTGATGGTCCACGTTGGCAGGAACTTTGGTCTTCAAAGACCTAACTTTCGAAAAACAATGTTTTCCTCATAGTCTTTATTATGTTTCTGTCTGCCTCCATTGCTCTGTTTTTTCCTTCTCTTTTTTAAAATGAAGGTGGATATTTTATGTCTTCCTTATTGTTGCTTCACTGAATAAAAATAGCGGCAGCCAAATGTAGTGTATTGTAAAATTAAGACTTGTCTTTCATCTGACACTGTATAATACACCCTTTCCTGTGCTCCCAGAGGGAAGATCATTAAGTCTTTATCAAAATCCAGAAATGAATGTAAATGAGTAAAGTATTATGTGAGACTTAGGATAGCATTGTTATCCCGAAGTATAGATTTTTATAACTACTTTTTGTAATAGATATTCTCAATTTTTTTGAATATTCTAGTCTAAGTACCCAGTCTTCAGTTATTTTAAAAGTGACGTACATCATGTTTATTTACAACCATTAGGGAGGGAGATTTTTTTCCCCGTAGCAGTATTGAGTTTTCTATCAGTATTGCTAAAAGTTATTTAAAGTCTCCTGCCTACCATTAATTTAAGACAGTGCTGGAGCAAGTCACTTTGCACAGGTTTCTTTAGGCTGTCATGTTCAGTTCTCAGTGCAATTCATGTCTTCTTCAGTGTGCTTCTTTACTTTGTTCATCCGTTTCTGAAAGGCTGCTCTATTTTCTTGATCAGCCAACCATTTTCATAGCAGGATTCATTGATGATCCCTGGTTTTTCTGCAAATGCTTCATTGACTTTTCCTGATAGAGGAGAGGAGAGTTCACTGGCAGCCTTCACACCATCCAAAGTTACTCTTGCTGGACCTGATAGAAGACTAGCTTTAAACAACGATGTGTTTATTATTAGGGGTGGAGAGAGGAGAGACGGCTCAGCAGCTAAAAGCATCTGCTGCTGCTCTTGCAGAAGACTCACCGGTCAAATGGTGACTCACGACTTTCTATAACAGTCAAATGGTGACTCACGACTTTCTGTAACCCCAGTTCTAGGGACCTGACATCTTTTGGCATCAGGTACTGCACGCCTCTGGTGCACCTATGTACAAGAGGCAAAATACTCATGAATTAATTTTATGATAGCAGCTTGAAACAGAGCTTTTGTTTGTGGAAAGAAAATGGTATAAAATATACAGATAATAGGGCTGGAGAGATGGCTCAGTAGATAAAGCATAAACATGAGGGCCGAGTTCAAGTCCTCAGAACCTATGTAAAGTCAAGCATGTTAGCTTAGCCTATGTCTGTAATCCTAGCGCCCCTGTGGTAAGGTGTAAGGTAAGGACAAGAGAATTCCCAAATCTCAAAAGCTAGCTAGCCTGGTCTAAATAGCTGTGAACAGTGGTCACAAGACACCCTGTCTCAAACAAGGTTGGTGAGGATTGATATCAGAAGTTGTCCTCTGACTTAACACATATACCATGTATTATGTGTCATACACATACACTCATACCATACACACATGTATGTAATCACACACAAAATAAAACATTTACAGCTTCAAATTTGCCTATAAATGTGTAAATCACTGAAATTTTGATAGAAATAAATAAAACCTTTCACCAGCAACATTTTAATAATTCACTTTCAGCATTTTTATGTTTTTTTTTTTCTTCTTCTTGAAATAGTGCTGGTGATGAAAACCAGGCCTAGTGACTTGCCTATAAACCTGGTTCTAGGGACTTTGGTGTCTGGTTCTCTCTGATCTCAGAGGACACTTGATAAACATACACTCATGGAGGTATACATTCGTACACATAATAAAAAATAAATCTTAACAGTAATATAATTACTTCAGGGGAAAAACAAGAAGAAACAGCTCTGTCAGTGCTTAGACTACAGTTGAGTCTTAAGTACTTACGAGCAAGTATGAAACTCTTAATTTGGCACCCCAGAAACTCCCCTCCAAAAACTAACTTTGTCAAGGTTTTGTAGAGGTGTAGCTTCGTGCTAGGATACTTGTCTGCATTCATATGCCTGGTTTTCATCACCAACACTGTTTTAAGAAAGATAAAAATAATCATAAAAATGTTGAAAGTGAACTATTAAAATGTTGTTGGTGAAAGGTTATAATTTTTTTCCTCTAAAATTTCAGTAATTTATGCTTTGTTTTACTTAAGGTATAGTTTGGAACTCTTTTGTAAATAGTAGGTAGTGATAAGTTGTTGCAGACCTGACCAGCAATGCTTGAATTATCCAGTGAGCTGTCCTCACACTGATGTCTATGCTCTAGCTAGGGATGGAAGACCTCAACTTCTTTTTTTGTTTTGTTTTTTGAGACAGAGTTTCTTTGTGTAGCCCTGGCTGTCCTAGAACTTGCTCTGTAGACCAGGCTGGCCTCAAACTCACTGAGGTCCTCCTGCCTCTGTCTCACAAGTGCTGGAATTAAAGGTGTGCACCACCAGTGCTGCCTGTCTGAACCTCAGCTTCTTTACCTTTGAATGGTTTCCTATCCTACAGCAAATAACACTAGAATAAAACATTCTCACTCATATTTATAAATGAAACTATTTCTAGAATATTAAAAAACAGAATTTTTATATTGAAACCTGTTTTGTGAATTTACCTTTCTTTCCATGAAGCTTGTCATTGGGGTAAACTGTCTATGAGTCTGCCCCCTCAGCAGGACACTTAGCTCTAGGGAAAAGGCCTGTTTTTTTTTTTTTTTTGTTTTTGTTTTTTTTTAAAACTTTTTATTGAGCCGGGCGGTGGTGGCGCACGCCTTTAATCCCAGCACTTGGGAGGCAGAGGCAGGTGGATTTCTGAGTTTGAGAGTTCGAGGCTAACCTGGTCTACAGAGTGAGTTCCAGGACAGCCAGGGCTACACAGAGAAACCCTGTCTCGAAAAACCAAACCAAAAAAAAAAAAAAAAAAAACTTTTTATTGATTCTTTGTGAATTTCACATCATGCACTTGGGTCCCACTCATCTCCCTGTCCCCTCATTTTCTTCTTTTGCCCTTGCAACCTCCTTCTAGTTAAAACCACAAAAAAACAAAACAATAACAAAAACAAAGCATAGAAACCATCTTGTGGAAGCTGTAGTGTGTCACCATGTGTCCCATGGTGTATCCGTTTTCTACACATCTTCATTTGCAAATGTTGATTGTAATGAGTCCTTGGTCTGCTTCAAGATCTCTGGCTTCTGTGACACCACTGATTGGATCCTCATCAAGACTCCTTCTGGTTATCCTGTTGTTGCCCTGTGTCCTAGAGATCCTGCAGTTTTGGAACAGTAGGACTGGCCCTTTGACATATCCCAACCATTCACAGATGATAGAGATTTCACATTGGACCATCTCAGAGCCCTGGATCTGGGCCTGAGCAGTAGCAGAGCTGGTCTGCCCACTGGCTTTCTCGTCTCTACACTACCAGAGTGAGCTCCCCAGCATGGCTCTTGCTTAGCCACCCAGTGCCACCATCATCAGGAGGTAGGGTCAGCTCTCTTGCTGTCATGCCCTGGGGGGCCACCTCACTGGCACCCATGTCTTCAGAGCCAGCTTCACTGTGCTGCCCAGGTGAGGTGCAAGGCCCACTCTTCTTATTGCTATAGCCACTGAAGGAGCAGGGCTAGCTCTCCTGCTCTCATGACCCCTGGGCCAGCTCTTCCAGCTATTGTAGGTGTCAAAGGGGAAAGGGGAAGGAAGGCATCACCCCTGTACCCATGCCACCTCATGCCAGATGAGTGCAAGCCAGCTTTCCTGACTTCTAGACCTCAGCGTTGGCTCACCTGTACCCCTTGACCAGGGCCAGCCCTACTGTTCAGCCCAGGCAAGGAACAGGGCTAGCATTCTTGTTCTCATGACCCCAGGACCAGCTCTCCTACACCAGATGAGTGATGAGTGAGGGGGCTGACTCTCTTATCGTCTTGCCCTTGAGGCTGGCTCACCTAAGTCCTGACCAGAGTCATCTCTGCTGTGCTGTCAAGCTCCTGACCCTGTTGGTAGCTATCTCAACTGCCAGAGGTGTCAAGGGGCAGGGGGTATCACCTCTGCACCCATGCTACTCCACGGCAGATGAGTGACAGTGTCAGCTCTCCCACACTCATGCCCTCAGGACCAGCTCACCAGGCTCCACTGTGCTGCCTGCTGGAGGCTCAGGGCCACAGCAACATATCCAATGAGGGGCAAGGTCAGTTCTGCACAGCCCCTAGACATCCGGGTGGTCCTTCATGGCTGCCCTGACCAGAGATAGCCCCATGTTCTCTTGTAGTAGTATGAGCCATGGACATTGACAATGACTCCTACCTCCATGGAGCCACAGACTCAGACATGGCCCTCAGCAGCAGCTCTGGCCGGGACCTCACCATGAGCAGGGCTGGCTCCTCCTCTCCACCCTTGAGTCTCCAGTTCCATCTCTCTTCCTAATGCTCAAGCTCTCTTTCTCTCCTCTCTGACCACTACACACTTGCACATTGTGGTGGCTCCTGCTGCAGGCTGGCCACATTGCTGGCAGGCACCTGGATGACATTCTCTATCCCTGCTGTGTGGCATGTTGGCAAGCAGGTGCAGATGTCTATGGCCTGCCTGTGTCATGCTCTGGAGGCCAGGTCTGTCCTCAGGTCTCTGTCTGCCTTCCTCCTCCTGTGCTGCATTGCCTGGATTTGATTTGATATAATTTGATTTTTGTGAGTCCTAGGCATAAAATAGCTTTGGCCACCAAGCCAACCATCAAACTAGGATGAACAAAGGACTGTCTGCTCTGCCCCTGACTGATATAAGAACACCACCACCACCAGCAAGGTTCCCTTTGCCCATTGCAGGGGGTAGAAGCCTTATTTTTACATATGAAACCAGTTCAGTAATTGGCATTAGTAGTTGGCCTCAGTTTTAGAGCCTTTTAATTTGAGAGACTCATAATTTAAACTTTCCTTTTAAAGTTCTCAAACTGGTATCATTAGCAAGCAACATGTACATCTTTTACACCCAAAGTTACTGTAAAGCAAAATGTTTTTAAGGTGAAACAGACTTTCTAGCTATATAATCTGGCAGCTGCAGCCTACGGAGGGGTGCTGGTTGAGGTTGGCTGTAGTGGTAAAGCTGGAGCCCATCATCAACTTCATTCCAGAAATCTGAGGATACATTTGAGCATGACGTATAGACCAAATTTCTTCTGTATCAGTTTAGAATGACTCAGGCAGCCGACTTGGGATCCTCCATAGTGATCTCGATGGCTTTGTTGGATGCAGAGGTCCCAGGGCTCTCTCAGTCTGAGGCTTTCAGGTCCAAAAGATGCAAGAGTTTTCCAGCAGAGGGACGTGGGGAACTGACCCACTTTTGTGAGGCCAGGACGGGCAGTATATTTTTACATTTGTCTCACATGTCCACGATTTGAGCAGGTAGGTTCCTGGTGATGGGTGAGGTGAAGGGAAATTCTTCACATAGTAATCATTGCAGCCACATGGAAGCAAGTTCCAGGTGAAGTCCGCTGCCCCATCTTCTGGAGAAGACCTCAGGGCTTCCATCAGGAGCAGGCATTTCTTTATTTTCTTTTAATTGTTTTAGGTTTAACCTGACAACATGGACAGAAGACTTAAGCTTACCATTAGCTTGCATGCCTTAATTATCTTTAACAATGCATAACAAGTTAGTACCTTTTATAAGAATAGGATTTTACAGTTTTATTCCTATTGAAGATTCCTTAGCATCAAAGTAAAACTTTAAATCATAAGTACAGTTCACAGAGACTAGGAACCTTACTCTCCTGATTTTTTTTCATAGTGCTCCTTTACAGAATGTCAGTTTCTCCTCAGTTTACCCACAGAGCTGGAGCTTAGCAAGTTGGCAAGATAAGGAGGCACACGTCTTCAAGTCAGTTTCTGGTAGCCTGAGTGGACCTCAGGAATTTATAAACCTTATTCATCAAACACTTCCTTATCTAAAAACATCTTTTTAGAAGCTTGGTGTTGAATATAGTTAGCAGAGACATAAGTCATGGTTTGTGACAGAGCGAGCTCCAGGAGGGAGCTGAGAGACTGGTGGGGAGGGAATCAGAGGATTGAGTGCTGTGTTGACAAGAATTTCAATCCTTTGTGTCCTGGGGTGGACCTAGAGATATATGAGAGAGATGCTCAGGATCAGTGGAGGACGTCACTCCTCCGCAAGATGGGACACCCAAAAGAGTGTAAGGAGGCTGCCTGATAGCAGCACAGACGTCATGAGCTGAGAGACAGAGCAGGCACCTCTCCTGAGTCAGAAGAGGCAAGTGGGTATAGTAGGTGAAGGAGAAGCAGATGAAGAGGTGGACTTTAAAATTTGGAGTTGAATGTGGCAGATGGCAAGAGCCAGCAGAAGTGAGCTGACCTTGGGGTCAAAACCCAGCAGTGTGATTCGGCTAGGAAGGACGGGGCCTGTTGGAGGGTTAAGTGTCCCTCCCAGATTTCAGGCACCAAATGTAAGTGCTGGCACAGAGAAACTGTAAAACCAGACCACACTGTGAGCAGAAAGAAAGATTTATTGGCGACCAAACTACCAAGGTCATTAGGATTTCTATTGCTGTGCAGAGACACCATGAATACAGCAACTCTTATAAAGGAAAGCATTTCATTGGGGCTGGGTTGCAGTTCAGAGATTTAGTCCATTGTTATCATGGAACATGGTGGCATGCAGGCAGACATAGTTCTGGAGAAGGAGCTGAGAGTTCTACATCTTGATCCACAGGCAGCAGCAAAAGAAGAACTGAAACATACTTCCTCCAACAAGGCCACACCTCCTTCAGAAAGGCCACACCTCTTAATAGTGCAACTCCCTGTGGTCCTATGGGGGTCATTTTTATTCAAACCATCACATCTGTAGGAGTGGGATCAGAGAGAAGAGCAAATGACAGATAAGCAAGCAGATTTTATATGGCAGTCATCAGGGTGGGGTTCTGAACTGATAAGGCTTTCCAGAAGTAGGCATCTAGTTCCTGGAGAATTAATAGTGATTTTTTGATCCACAGAAACATCTTAAGAGATCTGTTTTTCTAGTAAGCAGGAGCCTTTAAGCTTGTTTACACAATAATAATCTTTCTGCTTAGGCACTGCTATTAGGGAGAGAGGAACGGCAGAGGTAGGGTGGTGTGGGGCTTTTGGGCCTGACAGTGAGCTGCCTGATGTGAGGAGTCTCCCTTGAGCCATCTTTCCCAGCCTCCCAGCCCCCTATTTTAATTTTATTTATTTAATTTTATTATTTAATTTTTTAAAATTTAATTAGTTCATTTCTATATGTATAGGTCCCCCCTTGTATGTATGTATGCATGTATGTATGCATGTATGTATGTATGTATGTATGTATGTATGTATGTATATATATATGTATGTATGTGCACTACAGGCTTGCCTGGTGCCTGAGGAGGCCAGAATAGGATGTTGGGTCATTTAGGACTGGAGTTTACAGATGGTTGTGAACTGTTATGTGGGTGCTGGAGTTGAGCCCAGGTCCTCTGCAAGAGCAGCCAGCACTCTTAGTTTCTCAGCCATCCCCTTCAGCACCCTATTTCCTTATCTTAAGATATATGTATGTGATAGCTAGGATCTTGCTGCATAGCCCATGCTATCTTGAACTGCCAGTGATCCTTCTTTCTCTGCTTTCCAGGGCTGAGATTATAGGCATGTACTACTATGCTGACTTAACCTACTGCTTCAAATATTTTATTTTAGACATTTATTTTATATGTGCATGAGTACCTGTGTGTGTAGAGTCAGAAGACAGCTTACAGTAGTTGGTTCTCTTTTTCTACTTTGTTGGACCTAGAGCTTGAACTCAGGTTGTCAGACTTGGCAGCAAGCACCTTTACCTCCTGAGGCACCTCGTTGGATCTAAGCTTATTGCTCTTTAAAGACCACATTTATAAACAGTAGATCCTAGTTGATGTCACATAACCACTTTCTGAAATTGTTAGAGATAGCCTCATTCCTAAGTGATCCTCTTTGTGCTACGAATGTAGTTGATTAGCAGAGGTAGAGGTAAATTTGAGCCCAAGGTGCCTGTGGGATTAGTTTATGGACTCTCCTATAGAAGTTAGCTGTAAATGCTGTTGAATATCTTGTGTACTTGAAATATTTGTGTGTGACCTGTGATGAATTTTGTAATGTAAAAAAGAACCGGCAGTTGGATCATGATTGAGAACTTTTCCCTCTCTGCTTTCTCTTTTAAAAAACAACTTATTTTGTTCTTTTATTGTTTCTTCCTCTTCCCTCCAGACTAAAGCTTGTGTTTGCAAACAATTACTGTTTTTACACTTGTTTATTATTTTATTGCGTACACACATGCACAAATGGAGGTCAGTACAAAGCAGAGGTCTGGTCTCCTTCACCTTGTGGGTACAGTTACCTGCTGAGTCTTGTTGCTAGACCTAGGTCTTTTCATTGTGTTGAGTGTGCTCCAGGACCCTAGAGAAGCTCTCTTAGTGGGCTCTCACTAGTTAAAGTCTGATACTTGGTTTGTCTTAGGTGACTGTATGGGTACACTCACTGGCTGAGTGGCTATAGATTAAGAATCTTGGGTTGGTGAGGTGGCTCAGTGGTTAAGAACACTGGTTTCTGTTCCAGAGCCACCTGAGTTCATGGTGGCTCTCAGCCATCTGTAATGGAATCTGATGCCCTCTTCTGGTGTGTCTGAGGACAGCACATTGTGCTCACATAAAATAAATAAATCTTTTTAAAAAAATGATTATTAAAGACTCTTGGTGGCCTGGTGTAGCGTATATTTACAACCTCAGCACTGGGGAAGTAGAAGCTAGAGAAGTAGGTGGTGCCAGCATCTGGGGGAAAACTGGGAACTGCATGCTTCTGGCATTTTAAGTAGTCTCACCAGACTCTTTCATTTGGGTTGTAGGTGAACAGTCTGCATGTTGCTGACCCAGTGGAGACAGTGCTGCAGCTCCAGGACTGCAGCCTCTTCATCAAGATTATTAACACCATGTGAGTATCTGTTCTCCAAGCCTCAGCTAGTGGTGGGGACTGGCCAGAAAACCAGCTGGGATTGGGATATTAGAAGAGTAAGTGGGCTCAAAGATAAGCACCGTGACCACCTTGACCTTACCTTTCTAGTCTCTAGGTCTCTTAATGGAAGAGGTTTCCGTCTTGCCCTATCTAGAGACTTCCTTACTCTGGCACAGTAGGCGCTTCAAGGCATGATGACAAGAGACCACCTCCAAGAACTGCCAGTCTTCCTGTCTCAAAAGTAGTCTTAATCATCTTCTCACGATTCACTCTGCCTTCCTATCTCATTATTGTTAGAGATACACGTGCGAGTGCACGCGCACGCACGCACACACACACACACACACACACACAGAGAGAGAG